TGTTGTTGATATGATCCAAAAACAGGTGGCTACTTCATGGGAGATAGAAGTGTTGTGTGAAGAATGGAAGCTATCAAGCATGTTAGATCACGTCGAGTTTCTTTATATTCCAAGGAAGTTAAACAAAGTAGCGCATAGTTTAGCTAAATTTTCTATTTCTTTGTTGAAGGACATCTCCCGGGAGAAGTTTTTCCCAACTTGGGTTGTCCAGGATGCAAAGGGTACATTTGAACTTTGTTGTTCGTTGATGCAGTAATGTGAAGTCTTTGTTTTGGAGAAAAGAAAACATAATAATGCCACCTAAACATAAACTGCTGCTTCAGAACATATAAAATCCTTCCAGGACAGGAAGATTCTCCGAAGCAACAAAAATTAAAACTAACCAGTTAGACAAAATTTATGGTAAAAGTTAGATTTAGTTACAACTTACAACCATAAATTCCTGTTAAAGTCTAATAGGAGAACACACTTGGGCGAAAGGACACTCCAAGTCTTGAATTAAGAAAAGAGTGACTCTTTGACCAAAATCCGTTTTTTCTATTTCTTTTGCACAATATATCCTATGTGGCAAAGGTTAAGAAACTGATCAAATGGAATGGAGGCAAGATTATTAGTACAAGAAAGTTGGGGCTTTAAATTAAACCACCACCACATCCTCCTCCTCTTCTTCCATTTTTACAGTATAATTGGATCGAAGAAGTCGAAATATAGTATACTGTAATGATTGTATCCAATATGCGGCCATTAAATTGGACGTCTTGCAGGACAATGCCCTTCAATAGAGATGGATCTCTGATCGACCAATGAGAAACTAACAATCGCAAAGACATCGAAATCACCCAAAAATGGATAAAAATTGTGGCATTCATGGCATATTGAGGAATTATAGTTGATTTCCTGATTCACTTCTCCAGTTCTCTGAACGGAAAATCTGTGTCAAGCTTTTATGTCGATGCTCAACCATTAGAGTTGAATCCCTGCTCTGGAACAAGCAACTTTAACCGCCAGAAGTTGAGGCATCATCCTTGAACCAAGGATGGAGTATATATTCACGTCAGTGACTTGCAGAGGGGCTATTTTCTAATAAAATCTCAAAGAGGACAAGCTTATTTTCATGTTTTGGAGGGTTCACACTTGACCTAGCACAGAACATAGTCATATTAAACAGCTATCAGCTGTCACCCAAAATGCAGGCTGCCTCTACTATAGGTTCAGTCTACTGAGTTTGCAAATTGGAAAAAGGAATCAAAGATGAATATGTGCCAGTGATTACTGGTAGCCACACACTTGCAAAAGTCAAAATAACTTGACTTCAGCTCAGCGTCCATCTAGGTGTAGATAAGGTTCTTCAAGTTTCTTTTTAAAATGTTCTTCCAGTTATGTAATCATCAGTATTTTGTTACGAGGGCTCTGTTGAATACCATAGAGTAAGGTGGGAGCAACAAGCAAACACCAATTCAAAGGGGAGAACATGCTTCATTATGAACGGAAATTGATCCAAAGAACAAAAGGAAGTGGCTATTTTTACCATTGAGGAGCTGAAAGATACAAAAATCTTCATGTTTGGCCTCAGTTCCATATGAAGCGTATAAAAATCATCTTCTACATGTTTCAGCAGGTTGAGAGGGCTGAGCCATTGAAAGTAGCTTGTATCGGTGTCCAAGATAGAATGCTGTCAGTATCCATGTGAAGCAGACCTGAAAAAGTAGCCAAACTTAAGTTGAACATTCAACCTTCATTTCTCTGAGGCTTTTCAATCACTATACAGAAGTGTGCATTAGTGGATCCAATCATCTGGAATTGTATAAACAGCAACAACAATTTCAAGACATTTGGAGTAGTGTTGTCAAGAGAAGGTTTTACATACAGGTAGGGCATATAGAGAAACAGCTGATGCCTTGCCATTGAGAGTGCTGAAGAGTAGCTTGTACATTCCAGCTGCTGTAGCATCTCC